CATTCTTCTGTTCAAATCTGGTTAAAAGCATGAACTGTGCCACACACCCAGTGATCCATCCAAAACCAAGGACTGCAGCCTAAATTCCAAATACAGAGACTGAAATCTTCAGCCTTGCTAAGGGAACACCTCAATCTTTGAATCTTTTTTTGTTGTGTACAGGGCATTCTCTGTACTAGTTTGTTGTGGTTATAAAACATTTAGCAAAACAGCTTACATTTGTATTTATTTTCTATTCCATACTTCTGTGCCCCATGTGTTTCTCTTAATCCATTCCTTTAAAAAATAAATCTGTTGGCAATGTATATGTGTGTGAACTACAATATGTTCAAATAACAGGGTTGAAGGTGATCTATGAATTCATTGGGTTGGTGAGGATGAATTCTCAGTTAACTTTCTGTGGGACTGGCCATTTTGGTACTTGAGTCTTAAATCTCATCTCTCTAGAAAATGTGCACATTAACATGATGGCACATACCTGTAATTCAGCACTTGAGAGGCTGAGGCAGGAGGATCGCTGTGAGGCCAGCCTGGGCTACATAGCATGACTGTCTCAAAGATGGAAAGGGTTTTTTTTTACTATACTGGTCACAACCCTAGGCCTTGCCAGTGAGGAACATGCTTGGTCCTTTTTTAATTTGAGACAGCATCTCACTACATCACTAAATTGTCCAGGCTGGGCTCAAATGAGATCCTCTTGCCTCAGCCTCCCCAGAGTGCTGGGATTACAAGTGTGTGCCACCTTGCCTGGCTTGGAAGGTGATCTTAACAGGGAAAATAAAAGTTTTGAGAGGCAGTCCATCCTTATGTAATGAAGTCTGCAGGAATTTAAAGTTTAACAAGTGTGAATTGAAGCTTTTTCCTTAAAGGACCAAAATAAACTGAATAAGTAACTATCAAAGGTTTTCTGCTGGGCTGGGAATTTAGCTTGGTGCTGCGCCTGCCTCAAAAGCGCAAGGTCCTGAGTTGGATCCCTGGTACCCGCCCCCCCCCAAAACAAGTTTTCTAAAAAAAAAAAGTTTTCTGCTGTTAAGACTAGTTTTATGAAGAAAAGCAAGTATGGGAGACAAGGGTTTGGGTTTTTCTTCAGTACTGGGGATTGAGTTTAGAGGTTCATATGTGCTAGGCAATTGTTCTACCACTAAGCTACACCCTCAGCCTTTTATTTATATTTATTTAGTTTTTTTGAGGCAGAGTCTCTATGTAGTTCAGGCTGGTTTTGAACTCACTATGTAGCCTAGACTGCCCTTGAACTCCTGGCAATCCTCCTTCCTCAGCCTTCCAAATACTGGGATTACAGGCATGTGCCATCATGCCCAGCCCCCAGTCTTTCAAAAACAATTTTTTGTTTTTGAGCTGGTCTCCCTGTTACTCAGGGTGGCTTCCTGAATTGCTGGGGCTATAGGCATGCACCACCCCTGTGCCACTGCACCAGGCTGAAACTTAGCTTTTGGAGGTAAAAGAAATATGCCTCAGACTGAGATAACCCACACTTATCTTGGGAAAATCCAATAAGGAGCCTTCTTAGTTTCTCTACATTACTGTCACATGAGGTTGAGATTTCTCAGCAGCCAGGATACTGCTGCCCAGGAGGTAAGGATTTGAATTGGTAGGGTGACCAGTAGCAGTAGAGTGACGACAGCAACATCTCTGAAAGTCTGTATGTTTCTTTACCAGAATTTGGGGGTTTTGTTTTATTTATTTATTTATTTATTTATTCATTCATTCATTTATTTATTTATTTATTTATTGGTACCAGGGATTGAACTCGGAACCTCGCGCTTGCGGGGCAGGCAATGGCACCACTGAGCTAAATCCCCAGG